TCTGCACAGGGTGATTGTTCTCTCGGCATCGATCTGCACATATCGTAGATGCCCTCTACTCACACCAACACAACTGGTCTTGAAGATGTTGTGCAAAATCAGATCTAGAGTGGTGCTGAAGTTCATTGAAACATCACACTCTCCATTGGGAACTCAACATGGCGCAAGATCGGCTCATCAGGGAAGGGGTCACATTTAAGCACTTTACCCAGTTACTGTAGCCTGAATTCCATTCCCTCGAAAAAAAGAAAAAAGAAAAAAGAGTTGTTCGAGTCGGCTGGATTTTGTTGGGGTTTTGCGGGTGCCTGGAAGCGGGGCGGCGGAGGCGGAGGCGCACCCTAGTCGTCGTCGTCTCCATCGCTGTCGGTCGGGCCACCAGCAGCAGTGATGGCGCCCAAGATACGGCCGCAGCTGCCCGCCAGCAATGCCAGCGCGGTTTTCGAGGAGGTTGGTGCACTACCCGCCGTGTCCCCCGATTTGTTTTCTTCCCAAAAAATTTGCTGCGATCGCACCGTGATGATCTTACAATTTGGAGGCTCTCAAAGTTAAATCTCATTGGATTCGTTAGAAAAAATTATAAAATCCTACAATTCTCCGGATGATAAAAGCCATATGGCCTTTAGTTCAGTTTACTCTAATCATCGTGCTAACAACAGGATTTGGATCTACAAACTTAAAGTACCTCAGCTGTTTAGGTAGTGTTTAGTTGGGAGACACCTAAAGATGATGTTAGCTTAGGCACCAAACATAACAGGGCGAAAGAGTGAAGAAGGAAGAGAGCCAAACTAGTGATCAGCAGACTCCCCCCTCTCTCTGCCTCCCCTCTCCCCCTTTTATAGGGGAGGTGGGAGGGGAGGTTTTCATTATTTTCCTCGGTGGGGCTTGTATTTAAAAAAAAGACCACAAGGGCCTACAAATGGGCCTTGAACCTTATCTTACAAGCCCTAAGCTAAGTAAATGGGCCCAAGAGCACCGATGGGTCCCTAACATACAATACGCCCTCAACATATGTGATGATCTCGTTTTAGATTTTAGGGGTAGAACGATCATGTTTCATGTTCGGTTGATGGAGGACGAGATTGTCCTGTTTTTTGTTTAGTTTTTTGTTTGTTTGGGAGACATCAAAAGTGGCATTGGATACCTGACTGGTAGGCCCCATCTGGTGGCGATCGCCCTCCTGGAAACGTGCCAGGGCTAGGGGTGGATCTCACTGGCACAACCATGTGTGCCGGGGTGAAGGCAGAGCTCATCGGGCAAGCCATGCTCGCCATGTCCAGTGGCATATCGAAGCTCCTTCCTCCTCTCCTCAGTCGGTACTTGCGCTCCTCATGCACGCGCACAAAGGGCTCGTCCCACTTGGGACGGTCCTGTCCGTGAATTTTTTGGGGCGAATTGAGTCCAGATCTGAAAGGTATAATCACTAGTGGATGGTAGCGTCTCTAGTTGACTCTGAACCAAATTCCAAGCCGAGGTGGGATATCCCACCTAAGTTATCTTTAGTAAGAGTGACTCCTTTTTGTAAATACCATAGGAAAATCTTAATTTTCAACCGTACCCTTATTTCCATAGAGGGCTTTTTTCTAGGGAGAACTCCCTGCCGAATCATTGTCCTATACATGGACTGAACTTTGAACATGACATTCTTACTAATAAGATTCCACTGAAAAACATCTCTCCCATTTGTGAAGTGAACTGGTAGAACTTTTGATACTAATTGGATCCCAAGAGACCCAATTTTCATTAACCAACCCTCTCATACACGACACATTAAGTGGTACAACCCATAGGACGTTTGCCACCGTGTCATCTTTCCACCTCCACCTCACTATTTTGTATAGGTTAGGATAAACTTCACTGAAGGGTTTGTCTCCCAACCAAATGTCCTTCCAAAACCTGATTGGCTCATCACTTTGCACCTTAAAGAAGTTGCCGGCTAGGAAATCATCATTTGCCTTCATTAGGCTGGCCCAAAAATGAGAATCTTCTGGTCTGTGTCATACTTGTATTAACAACTTATTAGATAGGTATTTCTTTCTTAGAAGATTTTGCCAAACCCATCCTCATTAATCAACCTAAACAACCACTTGCTCAAGAGACATCTATTTTGAATTTCTAGGTTGTGTATTCCTAGTCCTCTAAATCTTTCGGCCTACAGAGAACACTCCATCTAGCGAGACGATACTTCTTTTTGTGCTCATCACATTGCCAGAAAAAACGGGAGCACTAATAATCTAGTTTTGAAAGTATTACTCCAGGGATTTCATAAAAAAGATAACATGAACATAGCTAAGCTATTTAGCACCAAATTAATCAAGACTAATCTCTCTCCCACTGAAAGTAATTTTCCTTTTCCAATTACTGAGTTTCTCTAAAACTTCTCCTCAATGCAAGCCCAATCCTTATTTGAGAGTTTTTTTTTTATGGTTCATCGGTATACCTAGATACCTGAAAGGTGAACCACCTAACTGGCATCCAAACAATCTTGCATATTCTTGTTCAGTCCTTGGCGGCTCCATAGAAAAAAAAAAGTTCACTTTTATGAAAATTAATTTTCAATCCCGACAATTGCTCAAAAGTGCTAAGCACTAGCTTAAACTCGTTGGCCTAGAGCGCGTGTCGTGATCGAGATACAAACAGTGCCATCCGCATATTGAAGGATCGATAGACCATCATCAACCAAATGCGGGACACCACCCCTGAATAGTGTCGGTTCTTGGGCTTGCCTCTCTGATGCTGAGGGCGTCCTCAGAGGAGGGACACTTATGGGCTGTCGAGCCATTTCTTTTCTGCCAGAGCGTGCGCATGAGCATACCGATGGGTATAGCCCTCGAGTCCCTGACCGATTCGGATTCCATGGATTTAGCATACCCCTATGTTAGACTCTTGTCGAGTTGTATGACAGGATTTGTCCTACCTGTAGCAATATACGGGTACTTAATTGTCTCTACTTCTATTATAACAATTATTATTTATGAAAAACAAATTGGTTAATGTCACTTTTTAGGCCCATTTGGATACCCCTCTGACTATAAGAATCAGGTTATATAATTAAATTTTTATCCAAACATGACTGATTATATGATGGATTAGATTACATAGTCCCATAATCTAGTTGAGACCAGGTTATAGGAATTTCCCCAGCTGATTGCCCAACTTATCAAATTACAAAGAATAAGATAGGAATTTCTCACTTTAACCAACCACTTTAACCAACCATAATCAACCACCATATCTATTGACCCAAACACTCCGATTATTATAATACATAATCATGATTATAACAATTTTATGCATAATTGAGATTACAATAACCGAGTCATGATCCAAACAAGCCCTTATTAGTACCCCTTGCCCCTGTGACTCTCTTGGGCATGTGCACAGGCTGCTAGCTGGGCCTTCCTAATCCAGTGCCGAGTCTGATTGAGTTTTCTTGATTGCGATAAATATATTACTTACGCGTGGGTAGAGCACACTTGCCTTTTGTTCTTTCTTTTTGGATATTTCTTTCTTTCCCGGGCCATCAATCCCTGAATATGCCTTGCCTTTTCTTTAATTATTTTTCTTTCTTGCACTTTCCATACACGAAGAGCACACTGGCAATTTATTTCTTCATATATTTCTCTATAATTTTTCCTTTCCATCCATTACGCCTTGATTATTTCTTACTTCATATTTATTTCCTTTCTTGCACCTTCCATGCACGCACTATACTTGAATATTACTCGTTCCATTAAGGTATTTAGTCAAGCCCGTGCACCGTTGCCATAGCCAGTCACTAGCCAGTAGCCACATCGTAAACATCACACGTCTAGATAATTGTAGCCAGTTTGCTAAAATATGTCTATATGTCTCATATGCTAAAAGATAATTATGTTAATTTATAGAGTAGACCTTATTGTTTTTTTTAGAATTATACAGTACAACGTAAACGCCCACAACACGCACGCACACTCACCCATATGAACACACATATGCAAACCCTGCCCCTATGAGCACCTCCGAAGGACTAAACTAGCAGATCTCGAGATTCACGAAGTCACCACAGGCGTCTCGCTGTCGACGAGGACATCGCCTACCACTGAAAGCAAAGTACCGTTAAATACTGGATTTAGATTCACGAAGTCACCACAGGCGCCTCGCTGTCGACGGGGACATCGCCTACCACTGAAAGCATAGCGCCGTTAAATCCTGGAATAAATTCAGAAAAATGCAAGCACCCGTGCCAAGTCAAGGATTTAAACCCGGATAGATAGGTTGCACCACAAAGACTTCGAGCCTAACCAATTGATCTATGATATAGATCAGTTCGTGGGAAGACCTTATTGTTGTCAGCATAGTATATGGTGCAAAGACGTGACAATAGATAGTCGTGATGAACATGGTTGTTACGTATGAACTAGATTATTTCGAATTCACATTAAAAACTTGAATGTTGCAAACATCACATTTAAATTATCTTTTCTCAATAGTACAATACATGTTTAAACTCAAACCATAGCGGTATTATTTTTTTCATGTTGCAACGCATGGGAATGATCCTAGTAGTATTATAAATTTAAAACGTGAATTGAACGGTATATGAAATAAACAACGGTACGATAAAGTATAACACAAGGTACATGAAACCATTCTTGCTTTTGCGGGCGGCTTTAGATTCTAAGCCACGTCGACTCTACCTAATAAACTTGTGATTGTGAACAACTGGTATGCAACTACTACTTTTTTTTCTTTGATTGATGAAAGAGCAGAACAGGTTATCAAAGAGAGACAGGAGACATGCAAGAAAACCACTAGCATAGAGAATTAGAGACGGCGATGGAGCGCGCGCCGCTCTGCGGCCCCGTTTGTGTGTCCTTAAATCCGGCTTGATCCGTTTATTTTTTTATCCAGAACAGTGTTTTTCTCTCACAAATTCCTCCAGCATTCATCCAAACCATTCAGATTCCTCCAAAATGCAGGGAAGCGAACAGGCCCTGTGCAAAAAGGCCGGTGGTCAATAGCTAGAACTGGGCATTGGACGTGTAGGTGGTGCCGAACCACCAGCCTTTGGGCGCGACGTTGTACGCCGTGACGACGCGGCCGTCGTCGGACCTGAGGCGGAACGAGAGGCCCTGCCCGTTAAGGTACGCGTTGCTCTGCCAGTTGGCGCCCCAGTTGCGGCTCATGGGCATCCAGTCCGTGGCGGAGCCCTTGATCCAGGCCTGCGCCACGACGCCGCTGCCGCCGACGTTGGCGACGGTGACCAGCTCGAAGTAGCTGTGGCCCTGCACGGTGAACCTGACGCCGCCGCTCCTGCCGCGGCACGGCACGCGGCGGTAGTTGACGGGCACGATCCCGGCGCGGTACACGGCGATGGCCTCCTACGCCGGCTGGGACATGTCGAAGTGGCGGCGCGGCGGGTTGCACCAGCCGCCGCCGGCGTCGCCCGACAGCGCCCAGTTGGGCGGGCAGAGGTTGGTGGCCGTGACAGTGACGGAGGCGGCTCCCGGCTTGCACCACCGCGACCGGCGCGCGTCGCAGGCGATGGCGAAGCACGCGCCGCACATGGTGCCGTTGTTGAACAGCGCCGTGCTCAGCGCCGTCGTGCGCGTGCCGTACCCGGCGTTGTACAGGTTGCCGTAACCGCACGCGCCGCCTGATCGTTTGATTTCGTTAGCATTGTTCGTTAATGCGAAACCTGCATGGCAGCAGGCCAGCAGCATAGTCAAGTGTTGATGGAGCAGAACAGTTAATTACCCATGGTGCCCGACGCGTCGCTGCCGCCGTAGAACGTGGCGAAGGCGGGTGTCCACTGAGCTGCCGCCACGGACCCTCCGAGGAAGAACAAGGCCGACAGGGCCAGGAGCAGCGCGAGCTTCTTCGACATGTCGTCGTCAGCCGTCACTGCTCGCACTCACTAGCGAGTACTTGCTGATCGTTCGAGGCTGTACGACCGAGATCCGAGAGTACTTGTGTGGTGAGGCAGGGTCACCTAGGACCAGTATATATAGTAATGGACTACTAGCTCGTACGTGCCCGTTCTTCTTGGCAAGCAAGCGCCAATCAAGCAATCATCATCATCAATGGCGTTTGTAAGAACCGCTCGATGGATTCGGTGGCTGCTACACCGATCGAGTAGACCGGTCAGGAGGACACTCAGGCAAGCGAGTACCGGCCGGCCGACGGCCCTGGAGGCATCCACGATCCTATATTTGCATGAATGCATGATCGGGAAAGCGACTGTCCAGCGCGTAGATGGTTTGGCCGCGATTGACTTTTGTCGCCTCCGCATGTTCACGTTAATGATTGGATTACAACACTTGGATAACACTTGCTGCAGGGCGAAATATAAATCTGGGCTACCGCTGAATTTGGCTCAGCAGGCGGCGTGTAACGCCGGCGGCCATGTTCTTGTCGCTCAACTCTACGTTGATTACGCTTGCAGTACGTGTCTTCTGATACTTTTGCACTGATGAAAATGGAATCAGCAACTACGTCAAGATCATGTCACGTCATGATTCGTCTCTATATCTATATCCATATCTATACTTCTATCTATATCTATATCTATATCTATATCTATATCTATATCTATAAAAAAATATTTCCTACTCCCAAAAGGTGTAATTACTATTATTACTTCTCTGTGTGTATTTTCAGATTTAAAGTGTATATAGCCCGACGAAAGTGTACGTAGACGGAGTCCGTGGCCAGGCCATACTGGCCTTCTAAAGTAGTATATGTATGTCAAGCATGCAAATATACCAAGAGTACATAGTTATACTTATTTTATATAATGATATTATAATAGTATATTAAAAATTAGGATTCTTCTAAATATTTTGCACATAGTAGGATAAGGTTTGTAGTACCTCAAAATAAATATATAAATATACTCAAACTAATAAATGAGTATGCATCCGTACACGATGTGATTTATAAAAAATGGGAGTAACTAATCTGGGGACTAGAAAAAAAACACCCTATATCACCTATTTGCTACGGAGCGAACGATCCGACAGCCTAAGTCTGACGCGTGCATGCGTACAACAGGCTACAGATGTCAGCTTTAAAAAAGTAAAATATTTATTTTAAATTGCTATATCTTTCAAATGATGTATTTGTTTTTAATTCCGTCTATACTGGTGTATTCTACGTGAAGAAACGAACAAAACTGACCTCAGTTGCATATGTTTCAAAAAAAATTATTCTAGTAAAAAATTATGTATACTAACTTATAACATATAGTTTATGTACACAGATTTTATTGAATAACTTATATACACAAGTTATATAGAATAACTTATGTATACAAGTTGTGTTTGATAACTTTTCTACATAAGTTGTGTTTTCTTAAATTATGTGTTTCTAAGTTTGATATAAGTTATAAGTTAATTCAATCATTTGTGTGTTAATAACTTTTGTGTTTGCAAGTTTTGGCACAAAGTTATAAGTTAATTCGCTCATTTGTGTTTAACAATTTTTTTAAATAAGTTGTGTTTTATAACTCTTGAGTTTTCAAGTTTTCGCATAAGTTACATGTTATAAGTTATGTGTATAAGTTAGTACCTACTAAAAAAATTCTTCGAAGCATATGCAAGTGTGGTCTAGTTTTGTTCGTCTCGTCGCGTAAAACACACCGGTATGGTGTAGATGGAATTAAAAATAGATACACCATTCAGAAGTTATAATATTTTGAAATAAATATTTTGCTTTTTCGTAGTTCGTGCCAGGCTATCGAAGAGAGCAGCGGAGGGGAGTCGGCACGCGCATATGTTTCTCCGTGGCCTGAAAATGGAAAGCATGGGAATTTCTTTTTTGCTAAAAAGGGAAATTTTAGGATGTCCGAAAATCAATCGCTGGTTTTAAATCCCATGAGCATTCGCGGATTAGTATCTATATATCTTATAATCCTAAACCTCGCTAGAGATAATGTCAACGTGCAAGCTGTTCATCTCGGCAGTCTAGTATCAGATGCAATTACTAATGGGGACGTCAGCAGTCCACTATCAGATGCAATTACTAATGGACGTGACCCGATCATCCGATAGGTATGATAGATTTGATTGGTGGAGAACTCAACGTTCATGGTCTAGGATTCAAATCAAGTATGATTTGAACCCCTGCAACTGTTACATTGCTGCTCCGTTGGTTATCCACCACGTGAAGCACGATTGACCTTGCCTAAAAGGATTTTTCTACAAGCAAATTAGGAACACAAGCAAGAACGTGAACACAATCTGATGTTACGAATATAGATGAATTATATCAATTTGCATGTTAGGAGGTTTGAGTCTTCAAACGAAAGGACTAATTGACACGGTCGAAGAAGAAGAAAAAGAACGCAGCAGTCGAACTCGACCTTGCAAGTGCTATGAAGAATGTTTGTTTCATGGGAAAAACTAGAAACCAACAAAAGCCAAACCCTAACAAGTACGCTGGCTATTGATCAGGAAATCTTAGGACGTGTGTACCCTTGGACATGTCTTCTAATGGCTCTAAGACGATACACAACCCAACCAACCAAAAGATAGTATATTTAGTTATCCACAGCAACGTGCCACGCTAACCATTAATATTAAATTATAATAATTTATCCCTTCACATAAGTAATTAAATATAGTCTAATTTTATTTCAAATCATCTACAATTCCTATAGCAACATGTGAAATATGCTTCTAGTACTCTCCCTATAAAAAATGCAATTCTCAATTCTGAGGAGAAGTCAAACAATTAATTTAAAGTTGACCAAATTTATATGAAAAACTATAACACTTATGATACCAAATTAATAACATTAGATTAGTTATTATCAAATATATTTTTATAGTTATCATTTTTTTTATAAATTTGGTCAAAAAATTTTGAGTTGTCCTAAACCTAAAATCGCAAAAAAAAAAATTTGAGGTGGGGCGTGCGTGCGTGTGTTGGTGGGGTGGGGGTAGAGTATATCGATCGTATCGTTCACGCCCTCGTGCCATAACGTTCAAATCATCGTGCCTCTGTAATCTAAAACTGGTGGACCTTTTGCAGCAGGATGCATGCAGGCAAGCGCTGAATCAAGTTGTGGCATGATTTAAGGAGGCGTACCATCCGAAACCGTTGGCAAATAAATTCGCCGGCCACCATGCATATGCGCCACAAAAATTCTTCCCGCGCCATGGTGTACATATATTCTTCCTTCTTAGCCAGTTAGGTGAGAGCATGCATGTGCTCTCGCGCGGATAACGCGCGGCTTCGAGCTCACAACTTAGGTCTCGTTTCTTTTGAGTTTATTCAGAACTAATTTTCAATTATAGAATAATATTTTTTTCTCACAATATTTTAACATAACCATTACCATAAGTTAAATTTCAGCATCAGCGAACATGGTGTTATTCTCCAAGTACGACTTGGTTTAAGCAATCCGATCCATTGCCAGCTATCCTACGTATATATAGAATGTTATTAATCTTTTTTTGCGAATAATGTAGAATGTTAATCATGGAAGTTCGTCGACAAAATAAACCGTGTGCAGATTGTCATACATATCAGATTGAACCGAAAATCCAAACTAGCAATCGGTGGTGAGGACGAGTAATAAGTGGCCGGCGGAGACAACGCTAAATACACGAGCAATGCGAGGTGTTTAAAGATATATCACCATGTTCGTTTGGGCTTGTTTGGCTTATAAGCCGTACTTTTTCAGCCAACAAACAGTATTTTTCTCTCATACCAAATCAGTCAACAGTACTTTCAGCCATAGCTTATCAGCCAAACAAGCACAAACGAACAGGGCGATAGGCGTTTAAATAAGAAGAAAGAATGATATCATATTCATATCATTAAGCATCAGTAATTCAGTATACAAATTAATCTCAACAATAATCTTAAGCAGCAGTGCCTAGATAGCCAGCTTAAATATCTTGTTAGCATTCATTAAGCGGTACTGCAAATTTAAGTATGATATCCGCCTTCTAAGCCGCATCAGGAGCTAATGATATGGTTGAAAAAGAGGTAAACACTTTAGGTCTTATTTGGATGCATGTGTATCCATCTCAATCCATATGTGTTGGAGTGGAATAGAATAGAATTTAGTTTAATTCCACTCCAATCCACTTCAACACATGTGAATTGAAACGAATACATAGGCATCCAAACAAGGCCTTAAACATTTCCATTATAACTCTAGCTAGAGGCTAAGCTGAGCCTTATCTTCTCCCCCTCCTCACTCCTCGGCCTCCATTGTTCACTCCATTTTATTTCCCTTTCCCATCTCTCCAAATACTAAAGCAGAGTTATATACGTTTAGGTCCAAAAGCACAATTTTGATGCTACACATGTGCGAAAACTTCACTCAAGATGTAAAAAGGATACTGCAATTTTGATATAGCACAAACGGATTTCCTGGGTTATGTTACAAATCAATACGTGCGTTAATATAGATATATTGACAAACACAAACAGTCAATTCTAAACTTCCGCAAGTCTCTCCATTGATTAGACTAGTTTACAAGTCAACATTTAGTACCAACGCATCGTCGTCGTCGTCATCTGTGTTCGTTCTCTTCCGCGCGCAGTTGGTAGATTGGTGGTTAACAGCATGAGTATGTAAAAGTCTGTGAACCAAGAGATGCCAACAAGCACGTCAAATGATAAATATAAACATGGCTAGGTTTCAGGTCAGACTGCTCTATACAATAAAATCAGTCAGTGAAGCAACATGTGTCACACTCACACATTTCTGCGTTCGATGTGGGGTTAAATCAGAACACAAGAACTGAGCTTAATCGATTTCTATTAACCATCCAACTCAACTGGTGTAATTAAGTTGGCAGCTGCGTACTACTAAACAACAAAAGATAAATTGATATAAACAGATGAGAATGAATACTAATATTACAAGATAAGCAGAGGCGGCATGCAGCCATGTGTACAATGAAGCCCCTCCCTTGAGCCCCTCGTCCATTTTTGTGGAAGAAGGAAGAAGAGAAGGGAGAAATTAGATTATTCCGAAAAAGAAGGGAGAAATTAAGAGAGGAAGGGAGAAGCCGAAACACTGTTTCGGCTGATTTGTTGTGAGAGAAAAACATTGTTCCGACTAAAAAATAAGCTGAAAAGTACGGATTATAAGAAACATGGCCTTTACCCCTGGAGAATGGAGATCAGGGAATCCTTGGCACCATTCCAGTGCTTGCCAAGAAAAACTCACGTAATGTTGTATGTACAGTGCATTTTGTTAGGAATACTGTTCAGACTGTACACATCCACTGGAGTGCCAGTGGAACCGACAGTCACTCGTGCCGACACGCTGAGCTGACGGCGGTGCGCATGCTTCTTCCCGTTCTGCTCTGCCGGTGGCCACCGTCCTCCTCGAGCCTAACTTGCCAATTTGACTATTGTAACTAGGAGATGCCGTGCCAACAGAGTCGAATCCCGAAGAAGATGAGACGGATCGAGCCCTTGGGAGAACAGTAATGCTTGGAATAGGACGCCTATCCGTCCGGACGCTCCCGTTCGTGGGTCGTGACGCCAACCCAAATAACCTCCACTCAACCATGGATTCCAAACTAGTCGAGCACAGCAGAGGTGACAACAGGCAAGACACCACCAACCCAGCAGGCTGAGCAGAGCATGAGTTGTCCCTGTTCGAAGGTCATCCCAGGCATGATGGCGACGTCCCGGACCCCGTGGCCCGCCGACGACGAGCGCGTCCTCACGGAGTTCCTCGAGGCCTCCCTCCGTGTGCTCGACCTCTCCTACCCCCGCGGAAGTGCTTCAACTTCGCGCTAGTGCCCGCATCGGGATCAGACGGGATCTCTTCGCACGCCCTTGTTTCGGGCGATGCGGGCGCAGTGCTGCGGGAGTCCAGCGCGATCGATGCAAGGTTCTCTTCTCTACACCGGTGAACTCCACGTGCCGACGATCCGCCATTCTCCCAAGCAGCAAGGAGATGTTGCGCTGAAACCACATGTTGCGCTGAAACCACATGTTGCAAGCGTATGTTTCAAGCATTCAGATATTTTAGAGTTATGTTGCAAATGTTTCGCATGGATGTTGCAAAAATAGACCGGGATGTTGCATATGTTGCAGTGGTTGTACACGTATGTTGCAAACGTCTGTTCCAAATGTTTCATCAGTTTTTTTCAGACGTATGTTGTAAGTGTGTTTATCTGGATGTTGCATATGTTTCACATATATGTTATAGCGTTTTATCAGGATGTTGCATATGTTTGCAATGGTTTTCAAGTGTTTTAGATGTTTTTTGCAGATGTTTTAGACGCATGTTTTAAATATTTTATTTGTTTTCAAACATATATCGTAAGTGTTGTATTGAGATGTTTTAAAAGTAGATCGAGTGTCGAAGATATTGTAACGTGACCCGACAGCTGCAACCGCTGGAGCGAGGGGAAGGTCGGGGAGTGCAGAGAGTGCAGCGCGGGAACGAGGTGCAGGGCACCGGCGTCCATCTGCTGCCCGGGAACGTTATGCGAAGCCAACTGCAGCAGGTGGCACTGGGAACCAGGGCAGTGCGATGAGGCTGCGTCGTTGGGTCGACGAGGCAGCAGAGGCTGGAGTGGAGAGTGGACCAACAGTCTACATGTGGGCTATTATCCTGACGAGGCCCAGATCGACCTCCCTCAGTTCCTCTCACGACACAGGACCTCGTGGGCTTGGCCTGCGTATTAGTGTGGTCTAAGTCAAGGTCTTGTCCAATCCCCGGCCCGGCGGCCTCTGTCCGACACCACACATGTCACGGCCAGCCCGGCGGCCAGCGCACGGAACGGAACCAAACCAGTGGGCAGTGGCTCTCGCGCGCTCGGCTGCCGGCGGCCGGAGGCAAGCAGTCCAGGCGTCATGCAAACCAGGTGAGCCCAAGAAAGCAGCGTCGGGGTAAAGCTGTCTTTTTTTCACAATGATGACACCGTTTTCACTCGCTTGGAGTTTGAGTTTGTATAAGCGTTTTTTGTGCCGATTGCTCAAGAATAAGCACTGACCGATCGCTGGGGGCTTCATCGTTACGTCAAGCTACTGCTACTCCACGGTCGTCGAGTAAAGCATGCCAGTCTTTTTCAGCAAAAAAGAGACAGATAGATGCCTACGAATCCGATACTAGCTCGCACTGGAACCAGATGCATGGTATTATTATTTTATACGAGTTCATCCCGTTGCTGGTCGATCTCCAAAGATGTCCCTACCGTTGGTGTTCTCCGTGTCCCCTGTCCCGCTTTAACAAGACGTTGCCATTGCCACTAAAATACCTTTTTTCAATAGGGTTTTTATCTGATATTCAGTAGGCAAGGCAAAGGAATTAACCTAACTCAACTGGTAGGGGATGAAAAGTGTGATTTTCTATCCCAACTATATATATGGCCATGTTCGCTTCTCTTATAATCCGTACATTTCAAACTCAAATTTGGTTGTCTAGTTTTTCTCTCACAACAAATCACATTTGATTTTTCAATGAAAAATGGGGCCTATCTAGGTTCGACTCATCTTGAACTCAATTTTGGTTGTCTATTTTTTCCGCTTAACATGAAATGAAAAACCACCTATATTTTTTAACTCAAATTTGGTTGTCTATTTTTTCCCCTTAACATGAAATGGAAAACCACCTCTCCTCTCACGTGTGTTTGGTGCAGCTCCTTTGGCTCTGGCATTAGAGCTACTGGCAAAGCCGGAACCGAAGTGGCACCAAACCGGACCTAAAAATTGAATATTTGACTAGCTATATCTAACAAAAATAAATTGTATTTAGTGAAAAAGGTAATACGTTATGAAATTACTTTCCATGAGAAATTTAGTAGTGTTACTTTGTGCTTGTCGATCAATAAATTTTAAATATTCACAAGGTCAAAGTAAAAAAAATTGACTAAAGAACAACACTAGATTGACTTATATTCTATGATATTTGAGGGAGTTTGTTGGAAAGCTCCAAGTTTGAAAAACAAAAGCAATTGAAAAATGTCAAAAATTGAAGATAAAAAGTAGTACTACATTGTAGTACTTTGAACAGGTATCTGAAGTCAATAGATCAGCAAGCTAGGGGAACCGGCAGACGGTCGGCTCAACGCTCTGTTTTGATCATCATCCATGACAAGAACTGGCCAACAAACTTGATAACACTAGATAAACAATCAACTAGAAAGCCAACCACCCTAGTTAACCACATCACCATCGTGCTTTTTTTGCGACGAACTGTTAGTGGCACAACGAAGATCTCCAAACTCAATGCGTCGGTCATACAAACACAAATATATTTAGGTCAAATCTGTATTTGGAATTCGTGAATTTCACATAAGTACAGTCCCATAGAAGTCTGTTTCAAACGGTCCTAATGATGAACCAGAGTCATCAAGTGCTTCAGCTGCAGGAGACTGCGGCGTCGATGTGGTGCCACCTGGACCACCCGCCGAAGTAGCTGTCCCAGACGCCCTCGGCCAGCCTGTCCACCCGCAGCGCCGCGAGCTCCTCCTCCAGCGCGCCGCGCCGCTGGCCGGCGCCGACGCCGAAGCCCGCCGCGCAGGGCGCCAGCGTGCCGACGAAGACGACCTCCTCGCCGTCCTCGTCGACGCCTTGCTTCGCGGACCTGCGCAGGAAGCATCCCACCTGGACGCCGCCGCCGCCGCCGAGCCCGTCGCCATAGTACGCGCTGGCGTTGGCCTCGCCGATCACCTGCAGCAGCCCGGCCTCGGCCTTCCCCTCGCCGCCCACGAGCACGACCTCCACGGCGGCCTCCTTGGCCGCGCCCCGCTCCGCGGCGGCGAACAGGCACGCCGCCGCGCAGCAGAGGGAGGTGGAGGCCACCAGCGGCAGGAAGAAGGCCGCGGCTCGCGGGAACGCTGCGGCGCCGCAGAGGAGCAGGAGCGCGGCCACGGCGGCCACGGGCGGCGTCGAAGAGGACTCGCCGGCGAGCGAACGGTGGCACGCCCGCAGCTGCAGCTCAACGGCGCGGAGCCTGTCGTGGACCGCTCTGCGCAGAGCTTGGCAGCTGGCGGCGGCGAGTCTGCGAGCAGCCATGGCTGTGCACTGTGCTTGACGGGGGAGAGTTTGCAAGCGAAGTGATGGCGCGGCGAGTTAAGCTATAGCCGTGGGCGCATGCTTGGTTTATGGAGGAGCGAACATATTCTAGCTCGCGCTGCGGTGCACACAAATGTGACATGTCGGCTCGTGCATGGCGTAATCGCCTCGCTTTTGCGGATGATGGGGGTGGGCGATCGGCATTCCGCACTGGACAAAGAATCTTGTGACTTGTGCTCGTGCGTGTTACAGCACAACACAATCGCTTTTTACTCGTGTTATTATTTATTTATCTTACTAAATTAATGATACATAGGAGTACAAGGGAAGTTTATTTAAGGATTAAGTCCACTTTTGACCTCTTAACTATTGTCTTGGTCTAATTTTAACCCTCAACTATAAAACCGTCTAGTACCGGTACCCCAATTGTTAAAACCATTCATTTTTAGCACCTGCCGCGGGGGCAAGGTTGTTTTGACCAACGTTCAGCGGTTTTGACCACGCCACGCTGACGTTGACCGCACGTAGGACGCTGGCCTGCATCTCAGTGACATGTGGGGCTCGCACGTCACCCACTCATTCCCTCCCCTCCTTCCTCTAGCTCCAGCAACATTCGGCGGCGGCGTCATCTCCATCCCTGGCGTCGGCCGCTCGCCCGAGGCCACATCGTCGACCGCCCCTCCACCGGCCTTGACCACGGACCCCGCCCACCCGATTCTGCCCCACTGCTTGGCATCCGTCCCACCACGAGGAGCCAGCCCGCGCAGCCTCTTGCGCCACGGCCCTGCGCGACCTCCACGCCCCACCGGCGATCTCCACGCCCACGCCTATGGCTCCGCGCCTCGCGGCCGGGCGGCCCCTGCGAAGACCTCCACGCCTGTGGCTAGCTTGCCCCGCGCGGCGCCCGCCTGCGCGCCCCTGTCCTCGTAGAACCGTGCTCGCGGCGGCTGTTCCGTGGTCTGCTGCGGAACCGACTTAAGCGGAACCGGCGAGCTCAATTGCAGCGCGAGGAGGTGACATCCATGCATATTGTCGTCTTTGCTTTCGAGGCCGACGACGAGGACGAGTCAGCCATCGCCGCTGGGTGAGGCTTTCCTGCGCGCAAGCCTGCCGGATCAGCCACCGCCGCACCTTGATCCGCCCTCGCCGGAGGTGGACGGGGCAGATTCGCCCTCACCGTCGTGCCTCCTGATCCGCCGCCGACGCACCTTGATCTGTCGCGCCACGCCTCGATCCGCCCTCGCTAGAGGTGGATGGGGCAGATCCGCCCTCGCCGCATGCCGCGCCTCGATCCGCCCTCGCCGGAGGTGGACAGGGTAGATCCGTGCTCGCCGCTGTGCCTCGATCCGCCATGGCCGTGCCCCGATCCACCGCCGCCGCGCCTCGATCCACCGCGTGGGGGCCATCGGAGAGGGCCTTGCGCGAGAGGAGAGAGAGAGCGTCCGCCAGTGAGGGAGGGAGAGAGAGAGAGGGCGCTTCTGAGCGGCCGCCGGTGAGGGAGAGAGAGAGAGAGAGAAGGTGGTGCTCGGGAGGAGAGAGAGAGAGAGCGATGGTGTCTTGGTACAGGTGAGGAGAGAGAGAGAGAAGCGCAGGGGTGGGCTCTCGAGGGAGAGGCGGCGGCGCGCAGCGCAAAGCAGGCTGTTGGAGCTGGAGGAAGGAGAGGGAGGGAACGAGTGGGTGATGCGCGGGCCCCACATGTCGCTGAGATGCAGGCCAGCGTCCTACGTGGCGGTCAAAACCGCTCAACGTCGGTCAAAACAGCCTTACCCCCGCTCAGGTGCTAAAAGTGAACGGTTTTGACAGTTGGGGTACCGGTACTATACGGTTTTGTAGTTAAAAGTTAAAATTAGACCAAGACAATAATTGAGGGACCAAAAGTAGACTTATCCTTTATTTAAACTAAGAACCGCACTTACACAGGCTACTGGGGGGAAAGTTAGCCCGTCAGCCCAGAGCTCCGAACTCTGGTCCTTAACGGGCCGTATACCAACTTGCAAACTGCAGTGTCACTCCACTTGACAGCCCATAAAGCCTTTTAGGCCGCCAGGCCGGAACAAGTAATCGTGGACTCATGTTTCTCAAAAAATAAATAAAATAAAATAAAAGTAATCGTCGACTCATGGTCATGGAGGCACTCTCTACTTGACTGCAATATGTCGAGATGCACTTGGGTCCTGAAACGTGAGGATATCAGGAGCCTGCTGGATCATAGTCAGCCTGATGACACCTGAGGTTGGATTATCGATGTGATGAAGAAACTAGCAAATAACGAGTTTATCATGATGGCGGTGGGACTGTGGGGGCGATCTGGTATGCTAGTAGAAAGGTCATCCACGAGAATATCTTTCAAAGCCCGCTGTCCATGCATTGTTTTGTGGAGCCGCTTCGTATCAGAGCCGGAGATGATGTTACCGAGCCCGAGTAACCTGCAGTCGGTTAAACCTTAGGGTCTGAGGTGGATCCCACCTCAAGCGGATTATGCAAAAATTAATGTTGATGCGGCAAACTCAAAGAACTCGAGCATAGTGGCGGTGGCTGCGGGTGCACGAGATGTAGGCGGGACGTTCTTGGGAACATCAACATTTGTGTTGAAAGGGATAACTGAAGCAGAGATTGCTAAATCTCTCGCATGTAGAGAAGGACTGGCTTTAGCGAGTGACCTGCTCATCCGGTGGTTTAGGCTAGCATCTGATTGTGCAAACGTCACGGATCTGTTCGCTTGAATTTATCAGTCATGGTATAATGTTTTTATCTCACAACAAATCATCTTTAGCTAGCTTATCAACCGTAGAAACCATCAGCCAAATAACGTTGTCAAAAATTTTAGATGCGACGGTATGGGCAGCTATGGCCAGATAATCAAGGAGGTAAAGCCTGGAGGAAGAAGTTTGAGGCTGTGGAGTTTGTGCACGAGAACCGTCAATCCAACAACGATGCACACATCTTAGCTCGCAGCTCGATCTATAGTTAGATGGGTAGCCATGTTTGGCTTTTAGCTCCACCTGATGTTCTCTTATTCTTATAACACTTGAGGAGAGTTTCTCAACAAAAAATCGCTCGATCATGAGATCTGTGCAGCTCCAACTAGTCAACGCATCAATTTCACGTGTTCCCGATGAGCCGGCCGGTCCTCCCAATCGCCGTCAGTCAGTGCTGTCTGTACGCCATGAACCGCGCGAGGTGCCGCAGCGGCGCCACGCGCGCGGCGTCGAACCCGTCGAGCTCCGCCTCGGCCTTCGCCAGGAGCTCGCCCATGTATGCGCGCGTCCCCTCCATGCCCATCAGCCGCGGGTACGTGGCCTTGCTGGCGGCCGCGTCCTTGCCCGTCATCTTCCCGAGCTGCTCCGGCGTGCCCGTCACGTCCAGCAAGTCGTCCACCACCTGGTGCAGGAGCCCCAAGAAGTGCGCGTACCGACGGATGCGCTCGACTTCGCCGTCGGCCCCGCCCCCGACGACGGCGCCCGACACCGCCGCGGCCTCCACGAGCCGCGCCATCTTGTGCACGTGGATGTACTCTAGCGCGGCCAGGCTCACGGAGCCGGAGGGGGCTCCCTCGCTCGCCATGTCGGCGACCTGCCCCGCGGCGATTCCGCCGACTCCAGCTGCGCTCCCGAGCTCCACGATCGCTCGGAGCGCGCGGTCCGCGGGGACGCCGGCGCCCGCGCAGCCGCGGGCGACGTGCTCGAACGCGAGCGCCAGGAGCGCGTCGCCCGCGAGCAGCGCCGTGGGCTTGCCGAACGCGACGTGGTTGGAGGGGCGGCCGAGGCGGAGCGCGCCGTCGTCCATGTACGGCATGTCGTCGTGGATGAGCGACGCGGTGTGGATCATCTCGAAGGCGCAGGCCACCGGGACGGCCGCGGCCACGGGCCCGCCCACGAGCTCGCACGCGGCGATGGCCACCACGGGGCAGACGCGCTTGCCGCCCGCGAGGACGGAGTAGCGCATGGACTGGCTCAGGACCTCGGGGCACGGCAGGCCCTGCAGGGCAAGGTCCAGCGCGTCGTGCACAGCCCTGGCTTTGGCCGACAGGTAGCGCTCGAAATCGAAGCTGGTGCCACTGACGACGGTGACGTCGGCGCCTTGCGTGTTGGCATGGGGGCCGATGGTGGCATTGGCGGCTGTGGCAGCATGGTCCGCAGTACGGCTTCGGGGCATGGAAACGGATCGTCTCTCAAGCGAGTGCAGCGAAGGGGATCTCTGAACATGGAAGGACTTGAAGCTTTGGGCGGATGGTGCCCCGTGCTGGAGGAAGCAGGATGCCAACTTGTTCATGGAGCCTTGCTGTGTTTTTGCCCGGGTATATGGAAACAAAGGAGAAAAGGTTTGGGGGTAGCTAACCTTCGGGGATGAGTGAGCACTTTAAATACAGAACTTTTTTTTACTTTTGCAAATCGAACATACTGGACATGAAATGGCTCATTATTCTGAATATTAATTCTAATACTTATCTACATCAATATCTATATTTAATTTAATATTGAAGAGTCAAAATTTCATCTTTTTTTCCACCTTCTCCTAACTACATGCGGCATCACTCTTCTTCCGTTCTTGCTATCTCTCACTTATATATATATATATATATATATATATACTTTAACATTTCATCTTTTTTTTTTTGCCTACCCTCTCCTAACCGCTTGCGGCGGCATCACTCTTCTTCTATTCTCACTATTTCTCACTTGGTTTGGAGTTGAAAAAACCTTATTGACATGGCCTAAATCTATGTTTGCTGAAACATGGCACACATACATGTGGGCTCACCTTCCACCTTTTCTAACCTCATGATAGATATAGACAATAACTACCTATTTAAGTTGATTCAACCTTCAATTATTTTTTCATACGGGATCAATTCTTTGTAGCAAGTAATATTTCTTATGGGACTTAGAATTTAATTAAAATAGGTGGGTCAACACCAATTAATATCTTGCTCGTGTTTCATCTGGTTCCATCATCTACTTCTAAAAAAACTATTAGAGACAGCTAAAATTCCCGGCCACCTCTAAAAATACCTTCATTTTCTAAAAGCATATGAAAAGCCTAGTCATCTCTAAAAAAACAGCGGTCATCTCTATCAATTAAATTTTAGAGTCGGGCCGACACAAAACTATTTTTCAAGATAGATTTTGATAGAGCTACCTCTATCAAAAAGGAAGATGTCTCTAAAAATAGTTTATATAATAAATAATATAGCCTCTTATCAAACAGAACAAACAGCGTTCAATTATTGAAAATTAGTCTGCATCACGTGGAACACATGCGCCAGGCCACTGAAACATCATCGGCCGCGCACACGAAACCTAATATTTTCACCACTGCATGTGAAGGACGGTTTGCATTTTAGTAGGCTATATAGGTGAATCTTCTTTTTAATAAAGGTGAATCTTTCACTAGTGTGGGTATCGTAGTCCGACATGTGTTAATCGTGGTGCTGAGTCACATCAACTGTGTCTATTATGCATGGTATGTTTCTTTTTGTATTTTGTGTACTCCCTCTGACCAAAAAATTTCTAGGAGTTCTTTTTAAAAAAATAATTAAAATAAAAAAGTATCAATATTTGTATCTCTAAAAATATTAAAGTATATTCAATGTTCAATCTAATAATACTTGTTATATATCATAGATATTTGTATTATATATATATATATATATATATATATATATATATATATATATACATATATATATAGTTGAACTTTAAAAAGTTCGACATGTTGAAAAACGAGATATGTGTTTATTTTGGAACCGAGGGAGTAAGAGTTTTCAAATTTTAATTTTTTTTGTCCATCATGTACAATTTTTTTTCTCGAACACGCAAAAGGTTTGCATGTCTTTGTATTAAGTTATAGAAAAAGTTCAATACAATATGTCTTATCAGCACACTAGGGGCTCAATAAAGTTATACATGGACGCTCAGACCCTCTCTAGTATACTGTAAGCTAGGCTATTTCATTGGACATTGATCAACCCAAATTTGTGCCACTAGCAAGGGGGCCTATGCCCGGTGAGCCAAGCGGCGGCGCTGCTTGCGCGTGACTACCTCGCCATCTGCTGGGAACAACTCATGCAACGCCTGTATATGAGCGGGGTCACCATTGAATATTTATTGGTATGCCTTCATGGCCGCTGTCGATGGAGACCGAGAAGGCCTTCACTGGAAAACCCCTGGCGCTTCATGACAAGGTACTCACCTCGCTTGGCAGTCGAGATATGAGCTATGCTCTGACGCCACTATCTGCCTGCTTCGCTTGGAGAGCGATGGCGGTGCACGTCCACTAAGGGCCATATCATCTGTAGGCAGCTCGAGGAGTGGCGGCTGCTTCGGCCTTGTGACTCACTCAATGAAGCACTTGAGGCGTCTGTGTGCCGAGGTTGTCTGAGGTGAAGGAGTGTGGTTGACGTAGTTTGTCTCTGCCACGACCGTCGCGTTGTCCAGGGCGGCTGCCCCTACATTGGCGTTGGCCAGTGCTGGGCTCATGGGTGTTGGGAGTGGAGACCCGTCGTCGGGAAGACGTGACGTGAGGGCCGAGCCGCTGGCGGGGGGGACACGGCCATCCACTGGCCGAGCAGGTATGATGCACACCAGCTGGCCACGGCTAAAAGATATGTATAATGAGTACATTTTAGAGTCATATCTTTGCAAAAGAAAGAAATGATTCAAATGAATGTACCTTGCCCTAACTATTAATGTACTACCGCGATAAATCCCTGTATATAAAGTGTTAAAAGTGCGTTAAAAAATTATTGCACGAAGTATTTTGAATTAATGCGTCTACCTACATATATTAATAACTGATGAAAATATATACTTTTAGAATTAAAATCTGTACTTCTAAAATTAGTAGTTAGTAGGTATATACTACATTCGAACCAGCCTATATGGCCTATCTGTTTATCGCACCCACCCAATTTTCACTGGCCCAGCATCAACACCGTGCCCGACGTCCCAGGCTAATCCCACGTTTCTCCTAATGATCGCGCCTCCTGACCCTGAGTGGCCGAGTCCTGTACTGGGCATGGAGCCATGACTCAACGAGATGCAGAGCCGCCGTCTGCCAAACCGAGAACCCTAGCGGGGAGCGGCTAGCGTTGTAAGCTCTACTTGCCCCGCTGTCCACAAGGGCACTCGCCGCTCGGCCATCGCCGCCCATCCAGCCAGCGCAACAGTGCACGCCAGCACAATTACCGTCCATCAAGCTCAATTCAATTTCTTCCTTAATCAAATTTAGACGTAAAATCTCATAGCCCCCATTTACTTTGCTCAGTTTTGTCAAACCTCAGTTGCTACCTTAGAGAGAATGTTTTCAATAATGAATTATACGAAGAATAAGTTGCGAATTAGGATGAGAGACCAGTACTTGAATGATTGCTGGATCACATCTACTTAGTGTGAGTTCTTTCTGCAAATCAAGGGCGTCCTCTGAACCAGTGACGTGTAGGTAACCTGTTCGATTTAATTCCCCTCAGAACATAGCTACGCATTGTGTGTGTAAAGGTACTCCATCTGTCCCATGAAAAAATATCATTCTCATCTCTCAAGAAGTCACATATTTTAACTTTGATCAAATATGTAAGAAAATATTAATATTTATGGTATATTATTATTATCATGATAAATTGTTGAATACATTTTCATAATAAACTTATTTTGAGATATAAAATAGTGATAATATTTTTTATAAATCTAGTAAAACTTAAGATAGCGACACTTTTTTTATAGGAGGAAAGGAGTAATGCGCCATGTTTGCTTGGCTTATAAGCTGTACTTTTTCAGCCAACAAACAATATTTTTCTCTCACAATAAATCAGCTAACAATACTTTCAGCCATGACTTATCAGCCAAACGAACAGGGCAATGGTTTGGTTCCTTAGGCTGTCTCCAACAGGAGACCCATTGGTGAATCTAAACCTAAAATGGGTCTCCAACACAATACATATAACCTCCAACAGAGTATCTATATGGAAGACCCATTTAAGGTGTCAGGAGAGGCATAACCCAAATCTGAGTATCCTCTCTCCTGTAGACCCATTTGTAGAAATGGTTATCTTTTAGGTCTTATTATTGGAGAAGACCAAAAATAGGTATTGAACCATTTACCTGTAGTGCTACCCAAATGATGAACGGAGACGAATGTGTCTTATATTTTGAGTCGCAGTTGTTGGAGACCGTCTACTCCCTTGGCAACGCTACAGGTGTACGTGCTTGTCGGTGACGCGTAGAGCAAGGACATCAGGGCCCTTAAAACTTACCACGGATTCAAGCTCTCCGCGTTTCACTGGCATAGGACACGTCCTTCCGGTGGTTTAGCAAAAAAGCCCTTTCATTTTTTAATAATCAACCCACAATCCAACTCAGTCGGTCATCTACGGTACCAAGTTCAGATATTTCACGTATAGACCCTTTATCTAAACTTTATTCCAACGTAAAGAAGAGAAAATTCGATATCCTCATCGTTTTTACAGAAAAGCCCCCATGGGCCATTTCGCGGACGGCACCTCCGCCTCCTCCCTAGCACCAGACCTAGATCCCCCTGTTCCTTCCTCTCCTTTTTTCCTCTTCCCCCCACCATCATCGTCGCCGCCGCTCACCTGCCCCTCACGTTGTGGCAGAACCGCCCGAAATAACACGCTTACGGAGGTGCTCGTCTTCCACCAGACACTAAGCACCCCAAAAGCAAGCTACAGCGGGCGGTATCCGTCGGGCACACCCCAAGGGAGAACCCGAAAGATACATATTTTTTCCAAGGATCCAATAATGATAAGGAGTTACAATACTTGTCCATTTCATACATCCGAGTTTCTTAAAAGTACATTATTACAATACCAAATGTCAGAGTGCGGAATGATAAACAACGGAATTTAAAATAAACATCTAGCGATAAGAATGAGGATCCGTCTTAGCCCACCAGAAGAATCCTCCACACAACGGTACTTCTCAAGCATCACCTGCAACAGGGGTAAATAAACCCTGAGTACACAATGTACTCGTAAGACTTATCCGACTAGTGGGAATAATTTTCCGACTCCAAGAAATATGATAAGCATCATGGTTTACTGGTTTTCTTTTAGCAAAAAGCAATACTAATAGTGAGTCCTTATTTATGTTATGATTATCAGCCGTATTAAGTTATTATCTATCCAGTCTATATAAGCACATGTTCTCCTTTCAAGCAAGAGTTGAGCAGTCAATTCTATTTCTTCTTCTTTCAACTTTTAGTTCTTACTACGATGCTAGAGGTAAGACAAGTCGTACCGACTCGGTGACGATTCG